GTAGCGGTTTACCCTGGACTGGTTTTTTTTTCAAACTTGCATAATCACTCAAAAAAAAAACCTGCAAGTTGTGTACCTGTAAAACATGAGATATATAGCATATTTTCAACACAACCACCATAAATAACAAGTTTATGAAGATCTAAGGAAGTCGAAATTGCAAAGTCGAATATTTTTCAATTGATTAAATATAACAAAATCCAATTCTAAGCATTTACAAAAAAATTAGTTTAGTTCCAAAATATACACTTAGCTCGGGCGTTGCTTCTTCCCATGAGGTGACGATGAAGATGATGCAGCTGTCTCCTCTGGAATGTCATCCAGGCCAACTCCAACCCCAGACGTAGTGTTGCTACGCCGTCGGTTTCTCTGATACTGGCGATGCACTAGTGGAGGAGATGTCATGATAGTATGCTGAGAAGGAGTCGGTGGACGGAAGGCACGTGCTGAATGGCCTCCACGATGAGGTGGTGGTCTGATCGGCATAGTGTGCACAGTAGAAGATGAAGACGTGGACGGTCGAGGCTGCTGAATAAGGTGTGACTGCCCCACCCTAGACAAGGTTTGGCCACAAAATGATGTAAAACCCTGCATCGTCTGTATGGCAAATGGTATAGCCGTCTCTGGTGGCAAGTGGGAGATGGTCTCAGTAGCTCCCGATAGCTGGACGTGCAAATCAGCAAATGCATGTGCCTACATTTAAGTGTAGTTTTAATGTTAGTAAAATGAAATAAAAAACGTAAGAACTAGATTGAAATGAAGTGAAGTTCATACAAGCAGGAGGTCCGAGGTAGCTGGCTGGTAATGACTCGGGGGGCGCTCCTGCGAAGGTGGAGTAATGACCAGTCTCGTGATGCGACGGTACCAAGCCATGTACTCTGTCATGGCCGGGGAAGAAGTCCCAGTGAACGGGTATCCCTGGACGACTAATGCCTCTCGTCGACTCCACTCGTGTACATGGTCCGAATGCCGAATCTCCCAATTACGCTGTCCCCTTCGATCCTTCCTGTGTAGAGCAACGTCCGTGTCTACATCCTGTGGGATCGGCTGGTCTAACCCGAACTGACGAAGGACTCGGTCTGGGAGGTGGAACTCAACGACGTCAAAGCATATCAGAGGTGCCCGTGAACGCCAAATGTGCATGTCTGAGCGACAAATCTCCGGAAGTCGATCCATCACCCCCATTGTTATATGTCTCATTTCCTAACCAAGACATCCATGAGTTATTCAAACGAGGATCAACTTGCGCCACTTCATTGAAGTCTGAAGTGGGGGCGCTTCCTTTAATTGCCTTATCACGAGCTTCAATTACCTCTTCATCATCATCTTCATCAGTGTCATTCATCTCTGCATCGCCAAATACATCAACATTGTTTGGGTCAAGAGAATCAAGAATGCCTTGTGGTTGTGTGCTTGTCGAGGTTCCAACATTAGGCGATGAGGCCGGAGACCTAAACTGTGAGAGATGGTCATTGACATAATGTGGATCAACAAGCATTCTTGTGAATGACCCTATGCCCACACTTTGAACACCAGTGGAAAACGGTTGATCCACACTACCAAAAAAATCCATCCCCGGAAAGGAACCAGTGTTAGTTTGCACAACTGGCTCCTTTGGAACTTGTTCAATGAACAATTGCATTGCAACAGAAGAACTCTGAGTCACAGCAATCCACATAGCTCTAACAGCGTTGTCGTCATTTAACGGAATTGCAACATATGCCCCAGCCATAGGATAACGCATAACCACCTTCAACTCCACACCTCTAGGATCAACACTCAATTCTTCATATAGCTTGTTCAGAACTTGTGAATATGTCATCGCAGAATGTACAAACACAAATTTTTGATTCCCACCCCTATACGTTATATCGCTATCTTTGTGGACAATTTCTCCACCCCAATAGCAATATAGAGGGTAGTTCGGAACCTCCATGTTTCATTCTAGAAAAGCCCATTATTAATCAAAGATATTAGATTGCAAAAATTCATTAAAAGTGTGGCAATGTCCTAACATCAAGCAAGCAAACTACACAATTATAGCAACCTAAACTGAGCTATGAAGGTCTTAATACCTCTTGAAGCTCAACATGGGCATAAGTCATGACTACATGTACTTTGAGCTCATGTACTTTGTGTATAGAAGCTCTATTTTCACTTTCAAAATCAGCAATTATAGCAACCTAAACTGAGTAATGTGATCGAAACCATTAATAATTCTACAAGGGTTATATGTAAGGTAAGTAAATCAACAACAACAACCAAAACCAACCACAAACAAAAAACCAAAACCGAAACTCAATAACAACAACAATAAACAAGAACACTAACAACAACAACACAACCAAAACCGAAACTCAATAACAACAACAATAAACAAGAACACTAACAACAACAACACAACCAAAACCAACAACAACAACACATACATACAATTCTGAAACTCAATAACAACAACAAACTCAATAACAACAACAAACCCAATAACTGAATACAAAAAATAATTAGGGCACTTACCACAAACAAGAAGATCAGCACGTTTCTTCTGAAATTAGCGAAGCCAACCACTAAAGTCGAACCCTCGGCGTCAACAGCGGCGACCTTCGTTGCTGAGGAATGCTCCGGCGGCGTCGGTGGATTCCTTGGCTGCGCCGGCTTCCGTTGAAGGAGGTGTGATTTTGGTGGAAGGCGTGGATGGGATTTTGGTGAGAAGACGAAAATGAAAGAGGAAAGTGAAATCGGGAAATTATACCTGCTAGAAAACCGCTACTTGAAGTAGCGGTTTATTAAACAAAAACCGCTACTTGAAGTAGCGGTTTATTAAAAAGAAACCGCTACCTGAAGTAGCGGTTTATTAGTAAAAACCGCTACTTCAGGTAGCGGTTTTGCTGTAGACCGGATTTAAAATTTCTTCCCCCTGAACCGGTGACGTGGACGGTACTTTGGGAATTCTTAAAACTTTGGCTGCAATTTGGGAATTGCGGTTCTTCTTGACCTTAATTTGGGAAAGAGCTCGGAGAAAGGTTAGACAAACGACGTCCAAATGTATTTAACCCTGTGATAAACATCATTTATGTTTATCATTGTATATTTGTATTTGTATGTGCCTATGTGGGCATTGCTAATGTTTATCACTTGAGGAAGAAGCAGTAGGTAGGAGATTAATTGGGCATTGCTCGAAAATGGAAAAGGCTACACATACAATGTTGTATGACAGCTTTTCATGGGTAGTTAGAATGAGGCCCAAATTCCACTACTTTGAAATTTCATTCAAATTTAAAATGAAATTTCCAATTAATTTAACGTTTAATATTTAAATAGTTTGTCTTTTCCAATGCTAGCAAATAAGTTGTCTTCATTAAATAAGGGTAGTACCTTTTTTTTTTTGACAAAGAGAATTTCATAAATAAAGAGCAATTACAAAGTTTAAAGGATACAAACTAAACGGAAGAAACTACAACAAACCAAACTAGTAAAACCACTAAACATAAAGCATAAAAGGCTTGTGGAAATCAACATCCTTGGGGACCTTCGTGACATGGATGAAATGGGAAAAATATTTTTATCCTGCAATAACCTGTCAAAACACAATTTACATGTGCTTGTCGAGGCTATAAAGATGGTTAAAGAACGGAAATGACTGTGCCTATGTACAATTATTTTTTTAGTAACAATTAATAAAGCACCCTTTTTAAAAATAGTAATAATAATAATTGACAATTTTTCTAAGTTTATGAGTTATTTTAAGGTGAGTAACATTGTCTAGTTGATGTTGAATTATTCATGCTTGCAAGTGCACTCATTGCACTCATAACCCTTTATAGTAGTGCATGCTATTCATGCAGCGATGCTAAAGAACTTTGGGAGAAAAAGAGAAAAAAAGAAATGCTAAAACAAGCCTAACAAACAACCAAGGAAATAAAAAATAAAAAAACAACCAAGGAAATAAGCCTTACAAAAAACAAACACCCCTTTGTTTTGGTATTGGATATTCTAATATTATTCCAGCATATGCTGGGAGCAAGGATTGATCCCGTAATCTAGAGGTTACGAGATGGGAGTGCTACCATCAAGCCAACTCCACATCCTTATCAGAAGACATTCTATGCATGTATAAATCATTGAATAACATCAGCAAAAGCAAAGTTGGAATATTTAATTTGGTCGTGCCGTGATCAACTTCAGCCATCTAATTTGGTCGAGTAACAACCATCTAATTCAACTACATCGATTATCATGCAAAATTATTAATAAATTTGCATGTATGTTCCACTATGTAGTATGTAACTAACCTCAATCAAATGAGCATTGTTTTTAACAATACTATATAATTTTATTCGATTCTCTGAGAATTATTGAACTATACCTACACTTAGTGAGCAAAACGTGGGCAAAAACTATGATGTGCTTAAAAAGCATTTCGACTCTGAGGTGAAAAAAAAAAACCAACACCTTAATCAGCAGTGGAAGTAAAGGCACAGGAGAGCCACCGTACCAGAAAACCAGAGATGACTACACCCATGGATGTCTATCTCGAAACAGCTGCCAGAGAAGGAAATGAAGGATATCTCAATGATTTTCATTTACAATCCAATGGGGTAGAAAATGGAGAAGCAGCTCCAGATGAGAGCTACTTCCTTGGTCAAACATCAGATGGGGAAAACATTTTTCACTTGGCAGCAAGCCGAGGGTACTATGGCTTCATAGTGAAGGCTCTGCTGAAAATTCCGGCAGCAGTTCTTCTAATCTGCCGCGGCAACTCCTATGGGGAAAACCCATTACATATTGCTGCGAGATTAGGTCACCTTGAAGTAGTGCAGGCGCTAGTAAATTCTTACAAGTCTCACTTGCAGAATGTCAAAGATAAGAAGGTTAGATCCACCTTGCTGTCACACATGGTGGTTGAAGAAGGTACCAGTCCCAATCCATGGGTAGCTCAAGACTCAAGTGGAAACACACCACTACATGAGGCTCTCAGGACTGGATATGAGGAGGTAGCAATGTACCTGCTCGATGTGGAACCGAGACTGGCAAATTATGTTAACAATGCTGCTGAAGGAACCCCATATCTTTCTGCAGCCTATGGTCATGAACAAGTTCTTGAGAAGATCCTAACCTCAGATGTTTCCTACAGCTTAAGTGCGCCAGCTGGGTTGACTCCACTACACGCAGCAATACACAACTGCACAGGTATATGACTTATTCACACTTCCGGCAACTATTCTGCACTAGTTTTATCTAAGTCCTAGATTACAGTTCCTTTACCTACCATTGGAACTTAACCAATAATTTTTCTATTAATTACCTTCTAACCAAGAACTATTATTGCCTCTACTGCATCTTCCTTAAGGTAATATATGCAACAAAAAATAAATATGGAATATGATATTCAGCTATCTTTATGGCAGGCACGAAGAAATAATGTGTATGTGTTTTTAATACATAAATTCACCATAAACAAGCTCCCTCGCTCACTCAATCAAAATTTGATTTTCCACTATCTACCAAAAAGACTATAGTACCTTCTTATCTTTTCTTACTATGTCTGCTCAACCTTAAGAGAACATTAATTTGAGGACAGGATAGTATGAGGTATATAAAAGAAAAAACATCAGATACGTTACACATGCATTGGAGAATTGGATCATTGATAAACTATACTATAAGAAATTAAAAAGGAAAAAAGGACCAATTAGGGTGAGGGGTCATAATGCTAGTATACTATATAATTTAGTCAACCTATCACCCTATTAATGTGAAAGTTGAGAGCATACATAGTAATCATTTTAATGAAACAATGATATATACTTTCATAAACAGCTTCTGCATGCAACTAAGTATATCAACCATATTGTTATGCAGAGGATGTTGTTAGACTATTTCTAGATAAACACCCAGAACTAGCAAGGAAAGCAGATCGACGCAGGCAAAATGCTTTGTACTATGCAGCAGTAGCAGACAAAGAGGGACATGTAGAGGTAATACTTAAGACAGAGAAATCATGTGCATACCTACGTGACGAGAAAGGTCTTAGTCCTTTACTTATTGCAGCCAGCCTTGGCCAGTTAAAAGCTGTTCGTGCAATTCTTCTCCATTGTCCACAGTCAATTACAATTTGTGACCCTAATGGCAAAACTGTGCTGCACCTTATGAAATTGGGAAGTTATCAAGAAGGTACAGAAATGCTCAGTATTCCAGCACTGAAGAGGCTCATTAATATACCAGATATAGAAGGAAATACTCCTTTACATCTAGCAGCAAGGAACTCTGACCACATTATGGCCAAGGTGATACTAGATACTGATAAGACAGGAATTAATCTGAGGAATAAAGAAGGTTACACTCCATGGGATTTAATCAAACTACAAGAACTTTCTGAAAACATGGTAAGCAACTATAGCTGAAACTTATGTAACTTGTACCAGGCATCATGAAAATTTGAAGGACTAATAAGGTAATGCAACAATAATGATATATTTTTTATATTCAATTGCAGGCAGAAATAGGATACCAGCTAGTAATGCATTTAGATGACAAACAAACACCTAGTCAACCTCAAGTGATCAACCAAACAACACTTTGTCCAGAAAATGCTAACGAAAGAATGCAGAAAAAGTTCAGCACACTTGGAATCATAGCTGTAATTTTAGCAGCTATCACCTTTGCAGCAGGATTCTCAATCCCTGGTGGATTTGATCAGCGTGGATACGCTGTTCTGACACTGGATACAGTTTTCAAGGTGTTCATGCTGTCAAATACAACTGCTATGTGTGGCTATACATTTGTGCTATTCAGTACTCTGTGGGCAATGATGCTTGCTCAGCGAGATGATCAGCCAAGATTTCTTCTGCCTTTCAGCATCCATATCCTTCAACTATCTTTCTATGCAACCTTGATAGCTTTTGTGAGCAGTGCTTATGCTCTGACATCAGCTCGGTCACTATGGCTGGCCATTGTACTAGTGTGTTTACCTCCATGTGCAGTTTTACTAACTATTTCAAAATCCGTTGTATTTCGCCTAGCAAGATTTTTTTCCAGGCTTCGGATTTATAAAAATAGGATCTGTAGCATTTGTTCTAGGACCTTACATCTGATCTGATTCCTAATAATATAAACATACCACTATGGATCTGTCCAGACAGTTTGCAATTTTGGACACCATGAAAGACATGAGATAAATATGCTCTTCTTTTTGGTATTAACCAATAAAATAATCAGTTCCTCAATCAATGTTTCATACCAGAAACCCATGATTCTGGTTCTTACACTAGAAACCCATATTATACCATATATAGAAAAAACTTCAGTCACACACTTTCTGAGCAGTTGCCACACAACTCTGATAAATCACAAGGAGCTAGCAGTTATCTCGAAAATCATAGAAACTAGGAAAAATATTAATCACAAAGAGCTAGCAGTTATCTCGAAAATCATAGAAACTAGGAAAGATATTAATCACAAGGAGCTAGCAGTTATCTTAGAAATCATACAAAACTGGGAAAAATACGAATTATTAATCACAAGGCGCTTCACGAATTAAAAATAAGAAAACTACAGGATGCTCCAAGTCACTCTTTTAGTTCTCATAGGTCTCAACACAAGACTACATTTCTATCTCATCAAAATCTTTCATTCTAAAAACTCTTCCAACTACTCTAGCTACCCATAACAATTAACATGTCTAAATCTACCCATCAACACATACCAATCAATGGCTCATTACAAGATGATCTACGATTCCAAAAAAAGCCCGAGGAAGGTAATATATTTCTAGGTCCCCTCGTATACAGAGTACAGCTCAGTGCAATAAGTTTTCTGATTCATTTGGTTGTTCTGACTGATTCATTTTGCCATTTTTTCTGACTTCAAAATTGGTTGTTCTGTTTCTATTGGTTTTCTGCTGATATAAGCTTCTGTTTCTATGTGTATTAAGATGGTTCAAGCTCTTATTTGTTCACAAGATTGGTTAAGAGCAAAAGGATTGCCAATTATTGATGTGGAGGAAACTTTGAAAGAGTTAGAGGAAATCGAGAAAAGTAGTTATGTTATTAAGCACTTTTACTTATTTATTTTATTATTACTTATTAATTATCAATACAATCTAATATAATCTATTTCCGTTTTGATTTAGATGTGCAATGTGGCGATGTAGACAATGAAGTCGTATTTGTAGACTCGTTGGTGTGATTCGTTTGAAGCGTGTGATTGAAGGGAGATAAGAAGATCAAGCATACAATCTAATATAATCTAGTTTGGACTTTAAGTACTTTATTTGAGGGGAGGACTTTATGTAACTTGTTAAATATGTTTTATATAACTAAGTTTTGGACTTAAAAAAAGGGCAATAGTTTGTCCAAAATATGTTTTATAAACAGGTCATGAAACAGGTCCAGAATCAAGTTCAAAACAGGTCCAAATTCATGTTCAAAACAGGTAAAAAAAAAGGCCTTTATAAAGGATAAAAGCAAACCGGTCCAAACAGGTCCAGACCAGGACCGGACCCGGACCGGCAGGGACAGGTCTAACACCGGTCCACGCATGCCGGTCCAAACCTAATTATTATTTATACTATCATCTTCAGTAGCAATAACTGTAGTTTCTTCAAAAACATAAAATTATGATAAATTTTAACAGCACAGGAGAAATAATCCAGAGAAAACAAAAGAAATTATACAAAACAATTCATATTAAGAGAATATCTTCAACAATCCATCAAACTTCCATATAATTCTCAGAAATCTATAACGTAAACAAAATAAAAAACCCTAAATTTGTTCATGGTAAAAGCAATTCCGAACATTAGAGAAATTGACACAAACCCTAGGAGAGAGAAAGCGAGGTAGGGGAAGACGGTGAATCGATCAATTGATATCAGTGTCATCAAAATCATCGGAGAAGCAGTTGCAGAAATCGGCATCAGCAAGCTTGAAATTGTCAGGAGCCATTAAATTTTCGCCGAAAACCTCAAGAGGATCAACGTCGTCGACATCCATCGCCATTGCAGCACTTTGCTCCTCGAGCTCTGCAAGGCAGTCTCCCGGAATTTGCTTCATCTTTCTCACTCTTCTTCTTTCTCTTTCTCACTCTAGAAGAAATCAATTGTGGAAAAGGGATGTTAATTTTTCAAGAAGGTAAAGGTGATGATTGAAGCCAAAAAGATTTATATTATCTCAAATAATTTGGAGGTATATTCAAAAATAAATAAATAAATAATAATAGTTTGGAGGTATTAATGGTAAATTGGTAATAATATCAATAATTAGGCGGCCAAAAAAAAGGGAAATTTTGTTTAGTAACACTCTAGTTTTTATTATTGGTAAACTTTAATTAGTTTTAATTTTTCAATAGCGAACTTAATGAAATAATTTAGTTAAATCTTAACCATGGTTAATATTTTAAAATAAAAAAAATTAAAGTTTCTAAAATATCCTCGCTTAATACACTTAAATTTCTAAAATACCCTCAATCATCAAGATCATCATCTCCATCCTCCCCTCTTTCTTCCTCCTCACATTTCTCAATCACCACCTTCGATCGTCGACAACAGCCACCTTTCCCCCGCCCTCGCCCCCACCCACACTGGCGCCCGCGTCCAGCCCCTACCTCCCTCACAGTGCGCCGGCCTCCCCCACCCCTACCGCACCTCTCCTTCCCCCCTGCCACCACCGTACCCCCTCCCCAAACAATCCCTCAAATCCTTAATCAATCTCTCCTCCTCAAACGAACTCCATTGAATCTGGCTTAAAATCTCCCCAATTTGACCCTCCAAAAGCCTGATTTTTCCTGGAATTTTGAATAATTTGTTGGTTAATTTCTCCAATTTAGAGTTTTCGACAACAGTTCTTGCTTGCTTTTCGTAGTCAAATTCAGGGAGTAATTCATTGAATTTCTCAACGGAAATTTCCAATTCCAGTGAATTCACGACGAATTTAATCATTCGAGGGTGGGGAGATGGGCGATTGTGAGATTTCGGGGTGGGGGACCCGTTTCTAGGGTTTTCGATGGGAAAGGAGTTAGGTTTCGGGGAAAGGAGGTGGTGGTTCAGGGGCGGGGAGGTCGGTGCACCGGCAAGGGAGGTGGCTAAGCAGGGGAGTGGTCGTGGGATCTTGGTGGGAGAATTGAAGGGGGTGATTCTTGTATATTAAATATATATATTTTTTAAATCATTGAAATTTAAAAAATAAAAAAATAAAAACTAACTGTGATTAAATATTTAGTTTAAATTTGTCATTAATGTTATAATTGGCTTAATATAAAAATTACAAGTTTACCAAAGATAATAATATATTTCGCAATTTATCACTGAGAAAAATTAAAAAGTATAACGTTACCCTAGCTAAAAATGGGCACGGGCCATGCCCGTGCCGCCGCGGGCCGTGCCGTGCCTGAATTGCCCGTGCCGCCGCGGGCCGTGCCGGGCCGTGCCGTGTCGTGCCTGAATTTGGCACACCCCAGCCCACGGCACGGCACGACCCATACAAATTTTTACCTAGACTCTAGTCTAGGATGAAATCCCTGCACCCCCTTGTAAACGACGCTGCATCACTATTGTTTTTAATTTCTTTCACCTTCAAACTACAGGACAATCTAATTTGATCTCCATCTTACATCTTTGTTGATCTCTCTGCCATTTCTACTTCTCCGTCGATCACAAAATAACTTTCGGTAGAATTGCTACATTTGCATGCTTTAGATATATTTATGAATTGCAGAGATTATTGTGTATTGATTTGATCAAAAATTGATTGCCGTAACTTACGATCAATTAGTTCAACAAGCAAATAACGAGCTTAATCAAACAGGCAAGCCATATCAAGAAACTAACACAAAAATTATAAAAATAATTTGATCCATATTTCCTGATTTTTTTTGTGGGATGAAGATCTGGAATTATATATGCTAGTTTACTGTTGTGGTGGAGGCGATGACGACGCAACTAAAGTTGTGGATTACTTATTGTTCCAATTTTTAATTTACTTTGTAGTTGATGCCAAATATGAAAGTAATAGAGAGGGAGAAGAAAAAGATGAAGAATGAAGCTTAGAGGATTGTAGAGTATTAAGAAAGAGAGAGAAAATTATGAAGACTAAAGCTGAAGAAAAGATACCAGAAACACCGTATCGTACTGTATAATGAATTTGTTCATGAATGAAAGACAAACATAAATGAACATATAATATTTTGTAATTGAACATTTAATTATGGTTTGATAGAACATTTAATTATTTTCATAGATGATTAAAAATTTTAAAAAGTTATCTTTTTTGTATTATTAAAGGAGTTTGAGGATAATTATTGAGCTTATGTGAAAAATAAACATATATTAAAAATTTGTGGAGTATATAAAAGTATATAATATTTATACATATGAAAATGAACATCAAATAATATATAAATGAACATTTTTTTTTTATCATTTTCATGAAAAGCTATAGAAAATCAAATTGTTTTTGAAATTCCTTATTAAATATGTAGAAAATATATAAAGATCGAAGATGGAAAAAGTGTGGACATTTATCAGAAATCTAATGATCGTCTATTAATATGCGAATAATGATCATATACTAATATATAAATGAACATTTATCAAAATGAAAATGAACATTCAACAAAAAGAATGTATTGTAGTTCATCAAGTAAACACTATAGGTTGTGCAATATGAGTTTGTTCTCCTGTAGCTATTGATTTCACTATATTGTCAATATATCCATAACTTGATGTACATGTATAAATATGACAATGAACATGCATCCATTTCTAGATGAGCATATTTCAATACAAGAATGAACATTTATTAAAATATCCTGAAATTAAAACAAAAATTAACAAACATCTTGACCGTGCATTTAAATTATGGGATTGAACAATTGCAATACTATATGTATAAACATCTACTAAAAAAATCGAAATCTACATCTATTAATATCCTGGCTATGTATCTACATGAGAATAAGCAAAAGGCTTTGATAAGAACATCAAATTTATTTATAAGTAGTTTAAATATAATAAATATGAACATTAGATGCTATATATATATGATAGGAAAAATAACACATGAAAAACTATTAAAAAAAAACAATATATACATAAAAATGAACCTAAAAGAGTATAGAAACTAACGTGATCAACATATTATATAATGAGCATCTACTCACATATAAATGAACTTATATTGGAATGATAATGAACATGGCATAAAATTAATGAGCATTAAAAAATATATGTGGTTAAACATATAAAGCTCTACTCAATTTTTTTAGTATCTTACTGCTTGCATAAAATATACTTTTATCTTAGGTGTGACATACAAATGATACAGGCAGGCTAAGTAGTAAGTACTACATTTACTTAATTACCTACTACTCCATACTATACATAAAAAAGAGTACGTATTTGTAACAATCAATACACATTATTTACAAAACGTGAATGAATGTCTATCAAAATTGAAATAATAAACTTATCAAAATAAAAAATGAACATTTATTAATACAAAAACGAACATTTATTAATACGAAAACGAACATAAACCATGTATGTATCAATATCGCAATAAATATATATAAAATAAAGTGATCTTGTATCAATATGGAAATGAACATTTATCAATATGAAAATGAACATTAATAAAGTTAAAATAAAAATAAAATAAAAATAAAACTACTTTAAGAAATTTTTTTGATTAGGGAAAGAAAAAGAAAGCAGCTATGCTTATGATAACTGTCAATTAGAAAGACAAAGTAGAATTAGAGACTAAAAAATTTAAGAGGGACAAAAATTGATGGGAAATTCAATCAATGAAATTTTTGTTGATTGAATTTCCATGGAAATTACTAGTAGAATAACAAATCACACGCTTCTAAGTTACATAAATTTTATGTTAATTTTGTTGTATTTTCAATATATATGTGTATATGTCTATTTTAATGATAATCATTGGTTTGTATTTGTTCATATGCCTTTTAAATAGTGAACAAATTTTATTATATGTTAATGTGTAGAGTTATAAAGATGTTCAGTTATATAATGATAAATGATCATTTATGTAGATATATATGTTTTTTAATATAATAATAATATAATTGAACATTATTGATATTATATTTGTTTATTATAATTATTGCAGCCGATAGTAGAAATGCTCAAGATACTCTTATTGTTTCAAGGAATGTTCACGCTGCTTCTAGCTAGTGCTTCAACAAATGTTCAAGCTACTACAAGTGTTTCAAGAACTGTTCAAGCTACTACTAGTGTTAGTTCTAAGAAGTGTTCGAGGTGGTTTAGGACATACTTCTATTAAGTATGATAAGTTCTTAGTTTTTTTGATACAAATGTAGCTAAGAGGTTCACTAGTAATGGTAAATGAGGGAGTACATTAGGAAACCATAGCTTTTAAATTACTACTTTCATGAGACTGCATTTTATATTTTTATCATGTAATGGATCTAAGGTTGTGTTTCTATTAAGCAATGTTTTCTTTCAACCTTAATATTGTTAGTGATGTAAATTATTTGCAAATGAACATTTCATAGATACAAAACACCGAGTTGTTAAATATGTTAAAAAAAGAAATACTAGCTATTTAACATACAATATTAAAAAAAGAAATATCAAATTCTATTAAAAAAAATAGAAATACCAAATAAAGACTCTTAAGCGAGTAAAATCTATAAGTTCTATTGAACACATATAAGAACATATATCTTTGTATAAATGAACATATATAAATTTATAAATGAACATGTAATACTACTCTTTTGTAATTTTTCTTGATAATCTTTTGTTGATCCTACATTCAGTGTTTTCTTCAAAAACATTAGTTGAGTTGTGTATTGCATCCTCAGCTTCCTGATTTGGTCTACCTGTTGATAAAAATGAATATATAATATAATATTAATTGTTATTTAATAATATATAAATGAACGATATATTTTAAGTAAATGATCATTTGATGGACTAACATTGTTTGGGTTTAAGTCACAAATCCATTTTTTATTTTGATCACCAGTGAATGTTTCCATGTGTTTCATAATGTAAACTTCACAATTTGTGTAATCCTCATTGCCACTTTAAATGACACATCACTACAATATAGATTATATCAATTTATATGAAGAAAAAAAAAATGTTCAGTATGTATTTCATATATGTTCATATATGTATCTACAAATGAACATTATTTTTTAATATAAATGGCATATTTTTTTACAGGTAGATACTCATATATGAATTATAAAATATGAATAGCATATCCATCTCTAAATTCCATCAAATGTTTCACTTAAAATGGTATAAAACTATAATCTAGCTTTGTTTATTATGCATTTGAAAATGTTCATATATGTATGTAAAAATGCTCATAATATTTAAAAATAATGAACATATTAATAAATGTAAATGCACATATATAAACTATTAAAAAAACATTTGAATGTATTACCAAGTTTGTATGCATGCGTTCATAATGTTTTATACAAATCAATAACACATATTTAAAATAAAAAAAAAAATCAAATCTGAATATGTTAATAAATACATATTAACATGTAATTATAGGTAAACATGTGAATATTTTCATAATATGATATGAAAATGAACATATGGTGCTTTATAATTGTTCATTTTACCTAAGCATCCGAGACACTATTTTTACATCTGCAGCCTTAACGCTTGTATATCTTTGAAAGTGTTGGATCTACAATAGGAGATTTTTGTTCGCCGGTTTTTTTGTAGAGGTGTTTCACCATCATCTCAATTTTTACATTATAAACCATTTAATAAATTTTTTTTAATAAATTCTTGTAAATTTAAGAAGTTTGAGTAATATACTTACATTTTTGAAGAATCGTTGTTTCTGTTCTCTGAAATAGATTTCTCCAAACTGAAAAATGAAATTGAAGCAAGTAGATGTTAATTTTACTAATTATTCGAAATAATCACTTTGAAATTGATGAATTATTAACATAAATACTTACATATATACATTTTCAGTTATTAAACTATCAATTTGTTTCCTGAAACACAATCACAAATAAATTCTCAAAAAATTAGTTTTTTTTTTATTTTTTTTTTTTAAAAAAAAATAATTTATATGAACATTTATACTTACTCTTTTGATTTTCGCTACTTTTTTCGGTGAAATTTGCTTCGGTTGTTTGACTTCGTCTCTAATGTCGCCATGGTTGAAGTTTTAAAGCTTAGATGAGAGAGATAATGGAGAGGGAAAATAAAGAGAGAACAAGATGTTTTTTTTTTTTGGGTATATATATTTGTGGGGTAGAGGAAGTTACTGAAATTTTTTTAGGATTTTAGGGAGTAATAGTATGCTGCATTTTGTGAGGGTATAGTACTGCAGAAACTATGAAAGTAGGTAGATGGGGGAAGGGGTGTTAAACGATGTGTTTAGAGAGGGGTGTAGGGGATGATGCCTAGACTAGAGTCTAGCCATAAATAATTACACGGCCCACGTGCCTTGCGGGCCGTGCCGTGCCGGGCCGCGGGCCAAACCGTGCCAGCTTATTTTTTTTTTTTTTAATAAATGAAAAAAAAAACGAATTAAACGATATATATATTTTTTTAGTACAACTTAATATATGTGATTAATTTATTATGTTAAATGTTAATGTTAATATATTTTGTTTTCATTTTTTGAACAACTTTATTTTAATTTAGGTTATATAAATTATTTATCTAATTAATAATTATGTTTAAGTTTATTTAAACAAATAAAATTTTTTTTATTAATTTAGCAAAAAACAACAATGCATATAATAAAAAAAAAATACGAGTGCGATAATCCGAAAACACAAAAAATTGAAGAATAACTTATTTTATTATATGACGGTAGCCGGTACGAATGTACGATAATTCAATAATACAAAATAAGTAATGATAATTAAAAATCGTACAATAGTGTATGAATATTGAATAACTTCATTTATTATACGGAATACGAAGTTCGATAATACAAAAAGAATACAATAGTGTATAATGTAAATATGTAATCATGTAATTATTATTGGTCGTCTTCGTCTTCGCCTTCGTCTTCATCTTCGTCTTCGTCTTCGTCTTCTAGAGGTTCAAGTTCATCCGCCAATTGAGTCGATTGAGAAGTATGAGAACTAAAAGAAGTCGACGTTCCTTCATCGTCGTCGTTTTGTGCATAAGTACGATCTTGAGAACGAGTTTCGGCATCCAACCAATCCTTGAAGCAAACACACATTTCAAGTGTTTCGGGTTTTAGTCTTGTTCTTCTATCGTCTAAAACTCGTCCCGACGCACTAAAAGCTCTTTCGGAGGCAACGGAGGAGACTTGGATTGCAAAAATATCACGAGCCATTACCGACAAAATTGGATGTTTCACGGTTTGTGATTTCCACCAATCGAGGATGTCGAGGCCAAACTTCTCTTCATCGTCCATGCCTTTCATGAAGTCGTAACTTAAGTACATTTGCAACTCCGAAACATCGCTTTGTGTTCTCTTACTTGATGATGATTCCGTACCTGAAAACTTGGACATCATGTTAGCAGCTTGTGCAAATAAACCTTTGGCCCGTTTACTTACATTTTTGGATGTTTGAGAAGGAGCAAATCGAGACACGGTTCCATATTTACTTTCATAGGTGGAGTATAAAGAAAAAAAATCATTTGTCACCTTAGTTTTAAAAGCTTCAACATCATCTTCAAAATTCATGTTACTATAATAAATATCAATTAATAAAAAGGTGCCATCATATTTTTGCCTAGGATCTAAAATAGAAGCAAAAATATAAATCATAGGAATATCGGTGTAATATTTACGCCATTTTTCCTCCATGGATGGAAGATATCCACGATAAACATGTTGAGATCGGTGTTCCGCAAAAAGCTGTGCAAGTAAACATGCATTACTAAGAAAAGAATGAGAACAAGGATTGTATACAGAAGAAAAACAATGTGTCATACCATATAGTAATTGTAAAAACTGCATATATTTTTCACAATTAACCCAATCATCTTCTAGTAAAGCATTTTGTGGAAATTTCATATTATAAAAAAGTGTTAAATGAACCTTGTACTCGATTGCCCGACTCAACATTTCATAGGTGGCGTTCCACCTAGTTGGACAATCCGGTGCTATTTTTATGGTTTTTATCCGTTGTTGCCTGCAAAAACCTTTCCATTCTTGATATCTCATGTTAGAGCTATTAATAGACTTAATAGCATTCCTTATTTTGTGATAAAATGGACCAATTGCTTGTGTTCCATCCTTCACACACAAGTTAAGAACATGACAAATGCATCTAACATGAAGTGCATTTCCATCTAATATAACATCGGTCAATTGGTTTTTGACCAAATTCGCACTATATGTCATAGAAGTTGCATTAGCGAAAGTCATTGACATGATTTTATCCCTAAGACTATATGCATCAATGGCTTCCATTAAATGATGTGAAATGTTAAGACCGGTATGAGGGTATTCAAGCATTTTGAAATGAATGATGCGTTTTTGTAACATCCACTCATTATCTAACCAATGACAAGTAACACATAAATAGTGGAGTCCGTAACCACCATCCCATGCATCGGCGGTTAAAGAAACTCTACTAGGAAGATTAGCTAATTCATTTACTAATTTCAATTTGTACTCTAGATAACTCTTCATGGCAGCAGATCGAACGGTTTTTCGGGAGATTTTTTTGTGTTTTGGTTGTAGTGCTCGGTTAACATAGTTGTTGAAGGCATCATTTTCGGCGAAAAGAAAAGGTTGTTCCGCATGTACAATCATTCTCCCAAGTTCATCCCTATCTCTCTCGTAATTGTAAATGAAGCCTTGTGGATGGAATTGAGAAATTTTGGGTTGGGTTGGATCACTAGATGGTCCACCACATTTTTTTGTATGTCTATTAAGGTGTCCCGTCCCTCCCTTGGTATCGGCCGAGAAAATTTTACCACAAGTCCGACACTTGGCCTTTTGTCCATTTTTACTTAATTGATAATGTGACCAAACTTCACTCTTTCTTTTGGTTTGAGCAAAATCCTCTTCGGTACACCACTCTAATATGTTAGGATTTTGGGTGTTGGGTATTTGGGTGGATGGTTCACTCGACCCGCAGGCTTGTGTTTGGCTACTTTGGGAAGGAAGAGGAAAAGGAAAAGGAAATTCATGTTGTTGAAATTGGCTTTGTTGAAATTGGGTCCAAGGAGCCATATCATCCATTTTTTTCTTGCCCTCCCGTGATTTGGGGATGAAAGAAAGGGGTGGAAGTGTTTGGAAAGGGCATGTTAGGGGAGGGAAAGGGCATGTTAGGGGGGGGGGCATAGGCATTGAAATGTTTGGATTTGGTGATTCCCTACGTTTTGATTTGGCTTTTCTAGAGGAGGAGGAAGCGTTCGGTTTGATGCCATGATTAATTAATAATAATAACAATAAAAGTAACAATAACAATAATAATAATAATACAAATAACAATAACAATAATAATAACAATAAAAGTAACAATAACAATAATAATAATAATACAAATAACAATAACAATAACAAAGTAACAATAACAATAATAATAACAATTCACAACAATAATAATAACAATTCACAACAATAATAATAACAATAACAATAAGAATTAGTAAGTAGTTTTTATATAAATTAAATTTTTAAAAATAATTATAATAATAGTAGATTACTTGGATCAATGAGATCCCAGGTAGGAGAGGTTAGGAGCGACGTTGTCCAGAGCCCAAGTCCCGCCTTAGACAGATTTCAACAATCCAAATAACCCACAATTAAAATAGAAAGTAGTTTTTATATAATTAAGTAGTTCCAACTTCCAAGAATACAATAATAATAATAATAATAATAATAATAATAATAATAACAACAATAACAACTAACAATAACAAATTAAAATAAAGTTGAGTTAGATCTTACAATGACGCTTCAATGCTTTCCCAAATTTATAATTTCCCGAACTTATAATTTCCCGAATTTATAATTTCCCGAATGTAAATATAACAATTTTTTTTTGGTAGTAGACTAATAAAGGTAATAATAGTAAAAATGTAAAATTTATAAGAGAGTAGGAATTTTTTTTTTTCACAAAAGAGAGCAAGATTGTAGGATTTGTAGGAATTTGAGAATTGAGAATTTGGGAGTAAGAAAATTAGAGAATAAGAGAGAAGAGATGAGTTGATGAATTGTGAAAATTTTGGAGGAAAATATGAGGTATTTATAGGGAATTTGGGTGGGAAAAGGGGTGGAAAACTAGCCGTTTATAACTGTTGGAAAACGGCCATAAACGGCTAGTTTTCCAACGGTATGGCACGGGTCGTGCCTTGCGGGCTCGTGCTGTGCCGAGCCGTGCCTTGCGGGCTCGTGCCGTGCCGCCGGGTCGTGCCAGCGTGCCGGCCACCGTGCCGCCCGGCGTGCCACGTGCCTTGCCCGTGCCAAATCCCACAATTTTGTTCACGACACGGCCCACGTCCCACAGGTGGGCCGCCGTGCCGTGCCGGCGACTGTGCCATGCCGGAGTCGTGCCGCCCGCGTGCCGGCACGGCCCGTGCTCATGTTTAACCCTAGCTGACTTGAGAACATCCTAGTTATCACTGAGATAATATATATTATATTATATATATATATATATATATATATATATATATATATATATATATATATATATATATATATATATATATATATTGTGGTCTCTCAATTGTGCTCTAGCTTTGTACAACCTCCTCATCTTCTTCATCACTCCCTTGATCATCAAAGTCAATGTTATCTGACAGGTTCACATGAAAGTCTCCCTCTATTTGACTAACCCCATTGAACATATCCCCCCAAAAGTCTCATTTGTACCCTCACTGTTATTTCCAAACAACCTAGTTATACTGGTAGTCACTCTTCCCCCCTATGGACAGCAGGACCTTTGTTCCTACCCAACCAGTTCACCCCTTTACCTGGTCCAACTACACCCTCATGCCCATCACTATCATCCTCTTCATGTTCAGTGTAAACTTCCATAAGCCTATATTTAACAAGTAAACTAAGAAATTTTGCAAAGGTAGCATCATCATAGCTTAAGAATCTAATGCCGGTTTTTTTTTTTTTTTTTTTTTGTCTTAGTAGGATCACAATAATGCATCTTAATAATGTCTTTAAACCTTAAACTACCTATAATCTTCCTCATACCATCCACATTAAAATTAGTAGGGAGTTCATCAATCATCGTTCGATTTATGGTTTACGACAGGCTCCACGAGCTTTATTTCAGAGTTTTAGCTGTAGTCGAGCTGATCCTTCGATTTTTATCTGGCGATCCTCCTTTGAGATAGTGATTCTTCTGCTCTATGTGGATGGTATCATTTTGACCGATTCTTCATTAGCTGTTCTTCGTTCATTGATTTCTAGACTCTCTTCACAGTTCTCTATGAAGGATCTAGTGGGCATACTGTTGGACCTGTCCACTCAAGGCATTGCGAGCAAATGGTTTTTGAAAAGCGCTCGAAATCATGGTCAACATTTTTCCAGTGCTTCAGCGGGGTTTGACCGCG